GGGTTGCGATCCCGTTGCCGGTCACGAAAAAAGACAAAAAGGAAAAAAAAAAAAAGAAATACGTATTAAGGGAATATACCCTCACAAACATATGGATACACATGCATACACATAATACTTCTTGAGTGCACTCAAGAAGCTTGTAATATCTTTTAAAAAATGAGACTTGTACGAAATAACTATAATTTTCCTTAGTTTCATATAAAAATGTGCTATAAGTTAATAATGAAGAGAAATCCCACCCAGTTGAGAAGGCATAAAGAAAAAAATCAAAAAGCACAAAGAAGGATGTGAAATTTGGAAACTGATAGATAGTATTTAACGAGTGGAAAATGTCCTTCTCCATTTTCCAAGATTGTAATCTCTGGGAATCTTGGGAAGTAGTAGTTGAAGCGGGTGGGTCACCTGTGTATTTAGAATATAACATTCCTTATTCTTTGCCTCTAGATACCGACTCATTGGTCCCTCCTTTGCTGTATGCATCATCTCAGGCAATACTGTCACTTGGGATAAGGAAGCACCTATTTGTGAGGGTGAGTTGAAACATTCCTTCCTATTACTTTTACCAACAGATTCTAATTTTCCTCTGGAATCATAATAATCTCAATCAAATTCTTTTGTTCAGCCTGTCCTTCAGATAGCTGAAGACAGCTGTAATATTCTTTAAAATTCCTATGGTGTTTCTGGCAACAATTTTCTGAAGTTCTTCCTTATCCTGGGATGTGCCTTTTCTAAATCTAGGGTCTTAAATGCATAAAAGCCTTCAAACTTTATTTTCACTTCAATTAACTTGGAATTACGTTGGTTCTGCCATTCCAGTGTAATAATTATTCTGCTTGGCAAATTAATAAAGATTTTAAAAATTGGTACCCTTCAAGGCTAGTGAAGCTGTGGAGGAATCAGTACTCTCATGCACCTGAGCATTCAACAAGCCCTCTTGAAGGCAACATGCATTGTAAGCCTCAAAAGAGGGCATATATTTTGACCCACTTCTTAGAATTTATACTTAGGAAATAAACACTGTTTTTTTCAAGAAGTTCACTATAAACTTTTCATTGCAGAATTATTTATAATAGTAACAATGTTAAAGTAACCTGAATGTGCTGCATGTTTAAAACTGTGGTTTGGAAATAAGCTACTGAAAGGAAAGA